GGAGGCTTTATCAGCCCTGGACCCTGCTGGGCCAGGGGTGGTCAGAGCTTGATCTGTAAGACAGAGATATCCAAAACTCACCCAGGAGTGTGAGCATCAAGCAGAGGAGTTCAAAGGACAAGCACCTGAAGCCAAAAAGACCCAACACTCTGCTTTGAGGACACAGAGGGGAAACACAGATGGCACGAAAACGAATAAGGATCTATTACAAAATAAGTTTTTTATCCCACACTAAAAATCATGTGAGCTTCAGGGTCATGCCCTGGAGATTATTTTTAAGGAAGGAAAATTCTAAAATCATAATGCATTAGTGTGCTTTGGATGAAACCATCTAGTCTGGGAGTATAAGGCTGCATGTAAGCAGAAGTCTTGAACATCTTTTTATGTCTAGGTCAGAAAGGTCTTCAGATAATTTTTTAAGTTAAAAAGACATTGAAAGATCAGGAATTTTCATGTGAATGGAAAGAAAATACCACTTTGATTTCCACAGAGAGGAAGGCAGGAGGCATCCAAGAGCAATAGAAACACAACCATATGTTGTAAACCATAAAAGCAGAGGAAATCAATGAAAACAAGGTGGAGGTACACTGCTTAGCAGGATTTCTGACATGCTAGACAAATAAATTGGTGCACTTGCTTTGAATGCAGTTCTCCTACATATGGGCATGTTGAATCCACAGGAGAAAAGGAGGTGAAGCTGCCATGGTATATGTAAAAATATATATATAATGACTATTTTCATCTAGATATTTAAAGAAAAAAAACATGAGAAAAATTGCCATATGCTTTAATGTCAGCAACTCTTGGCATTTAGCAAAACACAACTCCAAGATGCACAGTGGTGGAATTGTAAGTTGTCCACTGTCTGGTACCATCTGCTTGGTTAACAACATTAAAATGGAAGTAAAATGGAAGGGAAAGTGATCAAAAAGTCACCTGTGGAACTGCTCACATATTACTGCAATTGTCTACCCAAACTGATAATGGGAGATTTTAACAATACAGATTTGCAGTGAATAATACAAACAGCCTGGCATTGATGAAAGTTCCTGCAAGAGAAGATAATGTTGTGATCCACAAAGTTAAAAAAAAAAAAAAAAAAAATCCATATAAACCCTCCAACCACAGGAGAAACTCTCTTGGAAGCTGTACTTTATTTATGGACACTCCAAGACTAGGGAAAGCTGTAATGGAGGTGGTCATAATTGATTGTTTGAATTCAGCACAGGAGCAAGAAATTGGTGCACAGAGTGGGACAGAGGAAGGAGATGCAGCTGCTTCAAAGAAATTCTGAGGCCTTAGAAATCTGGGAAGTAATATAGAATTCACACAGCTTAAATTTTACAGTCAGAAGATGAGGAAAGGTGCTTTCTTCCCATTCTGTGTTTGCTAAACATCTGCAGGCAGATTCTGTAAATACCAGATGTTTGTTGAAGTGTCTCTTAACAGGCTGATAAGCTCATTCCAGAATGGCTGAATATGTTTTGAGGCTGTCAGTGCTCTCACACTCCACTTTACCCTGATTTTGCCTCATCCTGTGCTTTGCAGAAATGAGAAGCAGCTGGTTTAAATGCCATTTATGTCTGAATTGCTAAAACCATCCATGGCTAGTAAGAGAGAGAGAGGGAGAAAGAAAAATAAAAAAAAGAAAAGAAAGGAAAAGAGAGAAGAGAAGAGAAGAGAAGAGAAGAGAAGAGAAGAGAAGAGAAGAGAAGAGAAGAGAAGAGAAGAGAAGAGAAGAGAAGAGAAGAGAAGAGAAGAGAGAGAAGAGAAGAGAAAGAAGAGAAGAGAAGAGAAGAGAAGAGAAGAGAAGAGAAGAGAAGAGAAGAGAAAGAGAAAAGAAAAAAAAAGAAAAGAAAAGAAAAGAAAGAAAAGAAAAGAAAAGAAAAGAAAAAAAAAGAAAAGAAAAGAAAAGAAAAGAAAGAAAAAGAAAGAAAGGAAGGAAGAAAGAAAGGAAGGAAGGAAGGAAGGAAGGAAGGAAGGAAGGAAGGAAGAAGGAAGGAAGGAAGAAGGAAGGAAGGAAGAAGGAAGGAAGGAAGGAAGGAAGGAAGGAAGGAAAGAAAGAAGAAAGAGAGAAAGAGAAGAGGAAGAGAAAGAAAGAAAGAAAGAAAGAAAGAAAGAAAAGAAAGAAAGAAAGAAGAAAGAAAGAAGAAAGAAAGAAAGAAAGAAAAAAAAAAAGAAAAAAAGAAAGAAAGAAAAAAAAAAAAAAAAAAAAAAAAAAAAAAAGAAAGAAAGAAAGAAAGAAAGAAAGAAAGAAAGAATTGAATATAAACAATTGTGAATCTCATCCATGCCAGAAACAGACCCAGACGATGGTCAAGGTGGTCCAAATATGGTTTAAATCTCATTCTATTTGATTTTTGTACTCAGTTTCAACCCTTTCTTTCTCAGGCCAGTTGAGACTAGCTGCACTAGTACTTTCAGAGGCTTTTGGGACTACTCGGAAGGGCTTGGGGTGGGTGTTACACAAAGCTCCCAGGATTTGGCTGTAGCACAACAGTTGTGTCACACTTGAAAAGTGCTATACATGAGATAAAATTGAAAGGAATTATTTAGGAGATTAACTAGGAGGAAAATTGTGGTGAAATCAAATGGTGGAATTAAAAATGCGGGAAAACGTAGGTGGTGGTATAGGAAAAACAGTCTGACACAAAGTACAGGAGGCTGATGAATAACACGACAAATCCTTGTTGCAAAGCAGTGATATTTGGGCTATAACAAACTAGATAAATTATTAGAAATGCATCCTAGAAAAGCAGCTTGTATAATGCACTTTTGCAGTTTTTTTAACTCTACATCTAGGATATTTTACATATTCTGTGATGTGACTCAGGAATCTTTGAGTGCTGTGAGGTAATTCTGAGACAGCAGTCAGTAATTTACGTAATTAGCATAACAGTATTTAATTATATGATTACTGTAAATATGTGTAAAACTTTGATGGTGTAATTAGAATGTGTAATAACTACTTGTAATTACGTAATTAAGTGTGATGACATAACCAAACTTCTAATGGGGGAAAAAAGAAAAGTATTTTCAAGCCTAGCTATAGAAAATGGAATTGTGCAAGTAACAGGGATGATAAACTATATATATATTTATATTTACATCAGTATGAATCCTTCAAAATAAGACCCAGAAAGACAGAGTGTGGATAACATATTTTGCAATAGAACAGCAGAGTTCTTTCACTATTTCAATAAACTGGAAAATTTCAATTTTTTTTTGTACACATATATACTTTCTCTTATTGCTCTCAAAACCAGAAATGTGTGTTTGTGCTTATATATACACATGCATAAAACTTAATTCAGTTTAACATATGAAATGTGCAACTTCACACAAAAAGTTATTTTTGTATATTGCTACATATACATCTATTAAAAAAAAAAAAGGAATATAAAATAACAGATGATGGTTCAGGAAATGCAATGATCACTTAAGTAATAGCTCTGACTACCCCACTTCCAGGAAAACAGGAGATTGGGTTTATGTGATCTATTATCTGAGCAGTGCTCATGATGCAGCCAAAATACAGAAGGGATAAACTCTGAAGAGATGGATGAGATTCCTGGTAGAATTCCAAATGGCAATTCAATTGCCCCTAATAAGGAAATGCATGAATTGCTTCACCAGCAAATTCTGAAAAACACTTTAATAGACAGGTTTGCCTTTTTTAAAATAAAGTCTTTCAGGTAGCCATAGAGACCTGTGACTTTCTCAAAGCAAATCTTCATCTTTTATTCTTCTCTAGAATGATATACACATTATTTTGGGTGCCTCAAATCTTTTTTTCTGCTGTGTATAAATCTGGGAATTCACTGAATCCACTTCAAATAAACATTTGTTGTTATTGGTTTGTCCTGTTTTCCTCTCTATTCTCCCCCATACATCCACAATGTGAATGCAGGAAAAATAATAATATTTTTCAGCTTTGTTATGGTTTCATTTATTTATGATTCTACTTGTAAAGCCTTTTCTCTTTTTTTTGCTACTTGGAATAGAATTTTCCTTGCGCTAGATGCTCCCTTTCTTCAGTGTGGATTAGCCCAGTATTTCAGGTATTTTGAACATAAAACCCAACACTACTAGAAAAAATCAACTGTCAAATACATTCCTGTTTCTTTTTATGGTAATATACATTGGAACTATATTTGCTTTATCCACAGTACCATAATTTTAACATATTTTGTTTGACTAAAACAGACAGGCTTTCATCTTTGCAGTGTTTTAAACCCAACAACCCCTAATGTCTAAATGTTAAGGTATATTGCATTTTGTGCCAAAGCAGTTTATTATCTTTTTGTTATTTTTGGTCTTCAGGATTACCTAGTCTATCATACATGAAGAACTTTAGGAATCAGACCTTCATGATACATCCATAGTCAATGTTATTGAAAAAATCATGAGAGATTGTTCCTAGGACAGATCCATTAATGAGTGTTAATTCTATTAATGACTTCCCCATAAAGCAGTGGTCCTAATTTCAGAGGCTAGAGACATGTCAGAGCAAATAACAGATATTTTTTTGCCTGTTTCTACACTTGTTGATTTCTGCTAATAACATTGATGAAGACAGGATATTTGATGAGACAAAACCCAGCCTGAATATTTTTAAAAATTTTTTCTACATGACACTATTTTACTTCTTGTTTAACTATAGATATTTATTACACATTTTGCAAATGGTTCCATCATATCAGAGTTGGTCTCTGAAATTCCCTCAGGAAATAAGATGGCTATTTTGAGATTTATTAATGTGTAAAGAAGTGTTTCCACAGTACATTAAAGCACTGTGGGTTTTTTGTTGTGGTTTTGTTTGTTTGTTTGTTTGTTTGACTTTTGGGAGGTTTTTTGGTGTGTGTGTGGGTTTTTTTTGTTTTATTGTTTGTTTGTTTGTTTGTTTGTTTAAATTTGGTTTGTTTTTTTTTTCCTGTAAATATAAAATCTTATATTTTGTATTATTAAAAAATAAAGTTTCAAAACCATGCTGTACTTACTCTGCTGGCAGTTCCTTCCCATAAATTCACCAGGACATTCACAGGAATAGTTGGCAACAAGATCTGTACAGATTCCACCATTCCTGCAGGGTTCAGCTTCACATTCATTCACATCTGCAGGAAGCACACAAGAGAATGCCAGGATTAGCAGAGAAATTGTAAAAGCAATAAGCACATGCTTAAAAGAACTGCAAAAAAGACAAATAAGTGAGAGACGTTTTATTATGTCCTGTTGTACAATATAATTCAAAATTTTGCTCAATAATTTCCACGGTAACTTCCAGATGATATTGGGGCCAAAAGTTTGGCCTAAAAAAAGCCCCCAAAAAAATCCAAATTATAGTAGTTCTAATGGAGTAATCAGTATTTTTGCAACTTCAAGGAATATAGCTACTTCTTTATCAACAGATGCCAGTTAAGGATGTGTCTCAGTTCATCTTAATTCATTAAACATGTAATTGACAAGGCTGTTAAACCATCTAAAAAATTTCCCGTTCTGTGAATGAGTTAGTGGGCAAATTGAAACTAATAACTCAATCTAGAAGCCAATGAATTTCATTAAATTCAAAAGACAGAAAAGGTGGGTAATCTCACTTGAGTTCCTCTTTTTCAGTACATTTTGTCAAACCCTGCAAGAATAAAACTCCCTGTTTTTGAATAAAACTGTGTTTTTCAGTGTAGCAACCTTAAGTGCAATATCAGATTCCTTTCCTCAAATGTGACACAGAATTTTTCCGTCGACATTAAATAGGCAGAGGGATTATATTGTTGCATCATAATTAAATTTCTCAGTCTCCACATTTATATTTATTCTGAATGGATTAGAAATGTTGCATAGAAATGTTATATATGTCATTGTCCAAAAAGACTGCACAGTAAAATATTTTTAAAAGGATAGAGGATGTGGTAAATATGACATGGCAGATAATATGGGAAATCACTGGAAATTGAAGTAATGCTCCTTGCTGTTGTATTGAATCTGCTTCTGTCCCCAAAATTTTTTTTTGCTGGCATCCACTAAAGATGCCACTAAAGAAAATGATACAAAAATGTCTAAATCTTATGCAACAGGTGAAGAAGAATTCAGTTATGTCCACAAAGTTGCTTGATATTTGGTAGTTTGACTTCTGTAATTTCAACTTGATTTTTTTTTTTCATTTTCCAGCAATCTGTATTTTAAAAATCAGTGTTTTATACACTGAATAGGAGAATCTTCCCATTGCTGTGAACAGAAATGTAGAGACAAATCTTCAGAGAAATATGAAGGCTAGTTTAAACTGTTTGAACCAAAAAGTTTTCAGATTTTTTAATGCTAAAATTAACAATGGCAATTGATCCCTGGGCTTCTTTTTAACCCCTCATATTTTTCTATTTCTCACTTATAAAAATATTACATACTGGCATAATAAAATTTTAGAGTTAGCTGAATTTTTTCTATTAAAGATGAACAAGAGGACTAACAACTTCAAGTTCAAGAAATAAAACCTGCCAAGGGAAATGACCAAAGAGCAGACCTGCTCAGTTCTAAATTAAATCCTTTATATGTATTTATAAAATTTAACAAGATTCCTCAGCTCCCTATTTGCCTTTTTAAGCAAAGCCCATTAACCTTACATTTTTATCAGGTTATTCATCATTTTAATACAGGCTAACACATTTGTGGGGGAGAAAAAACCAAGGTCACTGTGAACCAAAAAACATTAAGTGAACATATGAACTATCTCTCACTATCTCCAACTATGCAGGTGGTAATTTATCCTCTTAAAAGCTTTTCTGTGTAAAGAAAATACCTTCTAAAGATTTTTTTTTTTTTTTTATTTCCCTCTTTGCCATTCCTGTTGAAATATGTAGGAGAAAATGCACAGCTTTCCAGAATATTCCATATTGTCTGTGTGGTGATGGTGAAAAATAAGCTTAGCTTGGAGTACCACATCCTTTTATAGCAATCCCCATATTTCATCCCCACGGAGCAATCAGCAATGATCAGAACAGGAAGATGGAAGTTGTTACTTATTATCTTTGCTACTTGGCTTCTACAATGATTTTTCCCAGTAATTTCAGGACCTTGAGTCCCATCAGTTCAAACAAATATGTCATATTTGATGAATGAATGGGGAAAGATTGGTCATTGCATCATGTCTGATGCGTTTAGTTGAAAAGAACCATGTTAAAGACTGAAAGAAATTATTGAATACTGGTTAAATAATAATTTCTACAGAATTATGTATTTTCCTGTTATTATTTCATTTGACTAAACATGCAGGCGACGATTATTTAATTAAGGGTGGTCCCTATGAATTGAGGTGAGATTATGTTCAGATTCCCAGATGTGCCAATTCTGATACCACACTTTACACCAGCTGGTGTGTTCCTTCCTTCTGAAAAACGTGAACTTTGTTATATTATCATGACAAGAAGCAAATTTCACTAGCAATTTTAAAATATTAGAGTTTCTTGAGTAATTGCTCCTACAGGCAATAAAGACTCATACAGAAAATTCTCTTTCTGTAATCAGTTTCTAATTCTTCATTGACCACATAACCTACCTACATAAGAAGGATAAAGGTTTTCTTTTGATGTTAATTAATAATGCACAGTAAAATCACTGCAGGATGCTCATGATTTTTCAGGTAAGGTTAGGCCTTAGCTTCAAGGAAGATCCTTTTGCTTTGCAAAAAATAAAATACAGAGACCTGGATGCTGCCAGAGAAATCTGAGTTCCTCACAGAGGGAGGTGGTAGAACTGATAAACACTGAGTGAAAAGGACTCATCAAAAGGCAGAGGGAAAGCCTGGATCTCTAGATAGTGTCCAGTTAGATGAAAAAACAGCAAACAAGCAACGATAAATAAAATGAAAGGAAACCAAGTGGAACTGCAATACCCAAGAAACAAAAGAAAGCAGAGAAGAGCAAAAATACCCCCAACCCAAACCAAACAAATGAAAAACGCAAACAAAACCATCCCAAAACCCAAATGCCCAACCTTCCCTGAAGAGAGATTCTGAAATTCAAGGTGCTGCAGAAACAGGGAAACTGAAATTTTCTGATAACAGATTGTTTCTTGAAAGAAATAGCTTGAAGGGCTGAGAGAACTGATTAGGAAGTAAAGGCTATGCTAAGGTTTCTTTTTTGCTGCAGATGGTTACATTTACATTTCCTATCTCCTAATATCAATCCATAATCACAAAGTTATTAGGCATACTTCTGCTTGAAGCACAGTTGTGGTGCACCCTGGAACAAAACTACATTGTCAGAAATTAGGAAGGTAATAGAGAACTTGGCTATGTCACACAGTGACTTGGAAAACCATCAAGGGGCACATTTCTGTGCTTTTGTCTTCCTTTGATGGATTTTATGTATATATATAGATAGATACACACTTATTTAATCCTCTAAGTATTTAATAAAACATTACTAAAAACTAGTACTTGTAAATGTAGCATAATTAAAAATGCCTAGCCCCCATCATTTTGGGTTTTACCTGTTAAATATAGTCACACATGCTTTCCTGAAAAATTGCCTCCCACCCCATGAAATGGGTATTTAAATTATGCAGCTGTTATAATAAAATATTTAACTCTTACATAAAGCTATTTGAGTCCTTCAGCAAGCTGCTTGGTATAAGCCTGACTTTTTCTGAAAAAGGGACCAATAAGCTCAATTTAACTGCATTTTTTTTTGGCCAACACACCTTGTGCTTTGCCTGTGAGCTCACATCAGTGTCTTGTTCCTGTCTCCTGCCTCTTTATTCTTTTCACAGCCCAAATTCCTGGTTCCTGCCACCTGAGCCCTTGTTTCTGGTCCAGGACTGCCTTTTGCCATGCAGGCATCCTGAAGCTCTCTCCTGCTGACCAGAACATTCCTTCCTTATATCCTGATTTTGTTCTCATGTATCCTTCTGGATCACACTCAGGCTGCTCATCTCAACCTTAAGTCATGTTTTAAAATCAACCTTCTATCTTGATAAAGTGGTTGGCCCATCATAGAAACAGCATTTATGTTTAAGAGGCTTCACTTGAAGGCTTGTGGCCTTCAGTAGGAGAATTGGTCTAACAAAATCCAGTTATTCTTTACTAATATTGCAAATATTTTTCTTCCCCATAACAAAGTCAGTTGAGGATACAATTTAGTACAATTTAGAAACAAAAAAATCACCTAGCTATATCTGTTGCTTAATTGGCTTCTGGGAAGGGTCACAGCCATACACTGGATAAAGATCAACTCCCAATCTGAGTAACTTCACACTCCCTCCTGTGCCCCAGATTTCAATATTTTGAAAGAAAACCCCAATTATATCCATACACCATTGTACTTGAAAATAAAACTTTTTTAGAGATGACAATATATTGAAATATCTTTACTTTTGGAAGCTGATATGGCATAATGTGGACCAAAAGATAATATAGAATAGTTATCTTTAAGTTGGTGTTTAAGCTAAGCTGTTCTTGTAGTTGCTCGATGGTTCTTTATAGATTTTTAAAATGCATTCTAGGTGTCTTTTCTTTAGTGTACATTGATCCAGAAAGATTTAATTACACAAGTCAATACCACATCAATAAGATCACACAAAATGTATGATCTTGCTTGCAGAATAGTTCCTCGTTATTGTTTAAGCTTGAGATTTCAGATGGTCAAACTTTTTACTATGAATTTCCAGTATCATGAAACTCAGGTTACATACTCTTTTTTTCTATTTGCACCAAGGTGCTCAAGCGCCAAATATTTTAAGAAATACTAAACGGCAAAGCTCCATTGGAAAGAATGAAATTATACTGGTTTTATTTGATAAATAATCTGGCTGATGAGAAACTGAAATTTAAAAAAATTAATAAAAGAAAATATTAAATTTAATAAAATTTCAGTGACATGATAAAATTTGAAGGATTACAGCAATTCACATACAGAAAGACACATCTTTAAGAGCAGGACATTTTTGTTAAAATATTTACCACAAAAAAAACCCAAAACAAACAAACAAACAAACAAAAAAAAAAACCCAATGAAACCAAACCCAAATCAAATCATTCTTCCTCGTATTCATGCAATTTATAAAAAGAAGCCTAAACTGTAAAGCTCTCCTAAATTAGGTTAACTTGCTGGGTTTTTTTTTCTCT